CTTCTGGCCGCTTGCGCGCCCCATCCCCCCTCGATGGGGCCCGCCCACACCGGGGCCTCCCCCCTCCCGCCCACTGCTTTCTCAACGGCCCCGAGCCGGGGCTGCCCTCATTGCATACATAGTGCGCCTTTCCCTGCTTTTCTAGTGACCTAGCGTTCCGCACTGCCGTTTGGCCAGCCCATGCTCCCGTACCGTTGCGTTTCTCCCCAATGCGCCATGCCACTTTGCCAGTCATACACACGTTTCGATGCGTGCCCTGTCAGCTGCTTGCGTTGCATGTCGCCTTGCTCCACCCCTGTTTTATTGCTTTCTCTGCTTTCGCCCGGTTCCCGTCCCGTTTCGGCGGGGAGTCTATGTTGCAAGCTAGTTCTTGCTTTACCAGACTTTAAGCCCACACAAGCAAGCAGTGGGGCCTGCCCAGCACGGCCAAGAAGAAGCAGGAGCTGTGGGAGCGCATCCAGGAGCAGGTGAGCTGCTGCGGAAAGGCAGCACGCCAGCGCAGCCGCTCGGCGGCGGCGCGGCAGCATACGGGTGGCCGTATCAGCAGTGCTGTAAGAGCGCTGCTGCACCTGCTTCCCCGCTTGACAAGCTTGCGCATGCGCGTGGTGCAGATCCAGGATTCCAGGCGCGATTTCCAGGGCCGCCCGCCGCGGCACTGCCTGGTGTCGGCGGCCACGCGCTCGGAGCTGACCAGCTGGCGCTGGCAGCGCATCAGCGCCTCCAAGGCCAAGGTGGGCGGGTGGGCTGTCCAGCACTTGAGTAAAGGCCCCCCAGCCCGAGCCACTCGGCAGTGCAGCGCCAGTGTCACAGTCACCCGGCAGCAGCAGCATGGCGGAAAGGCCGGCCGTCTCCCTGGCTCACTGCGGCTGCCCAATCTCTCCGCCCTTCGCTGCCCCTCCAAAGCTGCTCCACGTGTACCGCTGCAGGACATTTTCGAGCAGACCAAGAGCAACCTGGAGGGGCTGGACTATCGCATAGAGAGAAAGGGCGGCTTCGAAGCCAAGGCGCGTGCCTGCAGCTCGCTGCATTGCGGCGGGCTGCCAGCTTGGCTGGGGCGCGGAGCTGGATGGCAGCTGGCCGCCGGGCATGCGCTGGGTTGGCATGCGGCGGGCTGAAGAAAGCAGCTGAGCTCGTGGTGCTTCCTGCTGGGACTGCCTCTTGTGCCCGCACGGCTGTCCTGCAGATGTACCGCCTGTCAGACATCAAGCGCAAGGCCCTGGAGCGGTTTAAGTCTTGGGAGGGCCTGAGGAGCTCCCAGATCCAGTGGTCGCATATCTTTGCTGGCATCGAAGACCGCTCCCGCGAGAGGCAGCAGGAGGCGAGTGGTGCCGGCGGGCAGCAGCAGCAGCAGGAGGCGGGCAGTGGGGGTGCGCAGGAGGAGTTGCAGTGAGCAGTTGCTGCTGGGATTGGCACGGCGGTGTCGCAAACAGCTGCGCAGAGCCAGGCGACTGGTGCCAGGGAGGCGAGGAGGCACCATCGCAGCAGCAGGAGTGTCCACTCTTGCTTTGAGCATGTCGGCCTGCTGTCATCTGTTACATGCAGCCAGACTGTGCTAGGAGCGAGCTGTGCAAATGATGCTGACATTGCTCACGTGGCTTGAGCTCTCGCAGCTGCCCGGTCAGCTGCCAGCGACAGGAGCAGAGAACCTCGCCCACACTTGACCCATAGCCAGCATGCGACGCACATCACCTGGCTTGGCAGGCCCCGCGATCATCCAGGAAGATGCTGTGAAGTTTGGCGGAGACCTGCTCTCCACAGACAGCTGGATGCAGAAGGTGCGGAGGCATCGATAGCCCGGCGGTGAAGCTAGTTGGCCCTTGCTGCCAGTGCCGGGTTTGAGCCTCCACCGCACCTGCAGCTCTTGGCTGCCGCCACGCTTACTGCAATCCCTCAGAAACGACGTCCTCGCTCCACCTGTCTGTCGACACCGTGTCGACGTGACGTCTCTGCCAAACAGTTGAGGTTCCCTCGGCTGCCCAGAGGAACCTCCAGCCTCGCTGCCCTGTGGCTCTCTTGGATCAAACTTCGGAGTGAGGATTGACAAGAAGCCACATGGACAGGCTGGAAAGATCAACCTTGAATGGCATCCAGGGGGCACGATGTCGTTGCTTTGCTACAGCAGAGCTAGGGAGAGGATGAGGAGGGCACGCCAGCGCCAGCGCCAGCCCGCCCGCTCTGCAGCGCCCTCTCTGGTAACCCTCCCAAAGCCGCTCACCGACCGGATTGCACAGTCGATCGTGGAGTCCGAGGTGGGGAGCTTGCTCCAGGGGGTTGCACACCGCGGTTGGAGCGGGCTACTACAGCCGCGGCAGCCGCCGCCACCGCCGCCGTCTCAACCCGCCCCTGCCTGCACCCCTCGTGCACCCTCCGCAGTCGCCGCTGTTTGACCGCCGCGACATCTTGAGGCTGGCGGCATCGCTGGCACTGACCGGGTCCAAGGGCACCACCCAGCTGGCCCACACGCTGTTCTGCCACCTCAGCCCGCACCTTGGTGACGCTCGCTTGCCGCTTTCGGGGCCGACAATGCGGCCCCACCAGTCAGGCGGCAGCCCGCTGGCGCAACCCACGCCTCGCCTCGCTTCTGTTTCTAGCTTCCGGCAGCACTGAGGAGGACAGCGCAACGTCGTACCCCACCGCCGATGGCTGCCCATGCAGGCCAGCAGCCGTCGCGGCACGTCACCGCCAGCTCGACCATCTGGGAGCTTCAGGAGGCGCTGAGGGACTGGGGCCTGCCCTTCACCGGCAAGACCAAGGCGGAGCGGTGGGAGCGCCTGCAGGAGCAGGTGCGGCAGCCGGCTGTATGCCACATACAATGTAATGGGTGGGCCAATGGCGTCGACATTTGTAGGCCATGGCAGGGATTCCTGCAGCGCCTGCCTTTGCTCTTAAACCGTGCTGTGTGTGTGTGTGTGGATGCTGGGTGAGCACCCACGCATGGGACCACAGCAAGTGCCAGCGCCAGCCCTGCGTGCCTGTCCCCTGCAGGTCCATGATTCTGAGCGGGACGAGGCGGGCCGCCCGCCGCGGCACTGCCTGGTGTCGGCGGCCACCCGGCGTGAGCTGTCGGCCTGGGGCCTGCAGCGCATCGGCCAGAAGAAAGCCAAGGTGCGTGCGTGAGACACGGGGCACACGCGCCGACTGTTCATTCATGCATCATGTGCCGCTGTGCCATGCTGTGCTGAGGTCACTGACTCATATGAGGCATGAGATGCCGTGAGATGCTGTGCCGAGCTGTGCTGTGCCTGCTGTGCTGCCGTGCAGGAGGTGTTTGAGCTGGATCCCCACCACCTGGAGGAGCTGCCCTTCGTGCTGCAGCAGTCGGGAAGCTCCCATGCCAGGGTGGGTCCAGTGCTGTACTGATGGATGCTGCTGAACACAAGCCTCCTGCCGGCGTGGCATTCCTGCAGATCGGCAGAGCCCCAGAAACTGGTTTGCGGCAGCAGTGCGGCAGCGCCAGCGATTCTGGGATGGCCGCCTGCCTGCCTAGCTGCCCCCCTGCCGCGGCCCCTACCCGCTGTTGCCCAAGCCTCCGGACGGATCCCTGCAGGCATACCTGCTGGCTGACGTGAAGCGACTGGCGCTGGCCACCTATGGCTCCTGGGAGGCGCTGCAGAGGAAGCGCACCCCCGCGGCAGGCGGCTCCTCAGGCCCGCAGGCCGAAGCCAGGTGGGTGGGTGGGTGGGCCTGGGGGCGCACTGTGTGGCAGCTCCTTCTCTTGTCGCTGGCTCGGTGCCTCCTGCGGCATAAGGTGCTGTGGGCAGCTTGCAAGGGAACTGATTGGCCACTTGAATTCCTACTGGCCTCTTGCCTGACCCGCAGCGCCCGGCGCCTGGCCGCCCTGCGCCGCCTGCTGCTGGAGCGGGGCCACGCCGCCAGCCGCTTGGAGCTGCTGCTGGCGCAGCCGGGCGCCTTCCGCCACTTTGACCAAGGGTGTGCGGGCCGGGGTGTGACATCAGCTAAGGGCAAACAACCGGCAGCCCCAGTTGCTTGGCTGAAGCCTTGGGCTGGCCACCCCGGGAGTCGGTCTGAGGCTGCCGGCAGGCTGTGGAGCTGGCTGACGTGCGTGAGTGCCCGCTCACCTCCTTCCCTCCCTCCATGCAGCTATCCCGAGTCTGGCCTGCCCCTGGACAGCGCAGCAGCTTCCCTGGAGAAGAGCGCATTCCTGCTGACCGGCCCCGCCCAGCCCCAGTTTCTTGAAGCCCTGGCGTGGGCAGCTGCAGGCGCAGGCACCGGGGACGGGGAAGGCGGCAGCGGCGAGCACCGCGGGTGGGCGATTTTGCCCTTTCCGTTCTGCAGCCAGCCAGCACAGCTGTGCATCGGGCGCCGCCTTCCGATGCGTCCGCGCAGCTGGCGAGCGTACACGCGGGCACATCCTCTGCTTCTCGAATGCCCGCCATGGCCGTGTGCCCGCCTCTTGCAGAAACGTGGCAACCGCGGCTGCAGATGCGGCCCAGGAGCGGCGGCAGCGCGCCATGGACGCCGCGCTGGGTGGCGGCGCAACGCAACTGGCAGGTGGGCAGGCGCTGCATGGCCCCCGCCTGTTCTCCAAACCTTGCTCGGATCGTTGAAGCTGCCCCGCCTGCCTGTCGCGTGTGTTCTTATACACCCACAGTGTGGAGTGCCCCCACACATGTAGATGTGTTCAATGTGCCTGCCTCCTGCCTCCTGCTCCTTGCAGTTCATTCTGGGCAACCCACAGGTGCCCCGCTCCATGCTGCTCGAGCTGCAGCACATCTGGGAGGCGCAGCACCCAGAGCAGGCGCCGCTTCCGGCACTGCCTGCGGCCCCGCTGGCTGCGGGGCAGCTGCTGCAGCTGCAGGGGCGGCAGCAGCGGCAGCAGCCAGCTCAGCAGCAGGAGCGGAAGCCAGTGCCTGCGCAGGGAGAGCAGCAGCAACGTGTCGCCACAAACAAGAAGCGGCAGCCAGCACGGCAGCGTCCTGCTGGAAAGAAGGAGGCAAAGCGGGAAGCAAAGCGGGATGTGAAGCAGCAGGCAAAGCAGGAGGAGGCGTGGCGGCCGGGGCCTGAGGAGGAGCACTACGAGGATGAGTGGGAGTGCGATGCCTGAAGGTCAACGAGGCGTGCAGTTCTTGATGGTTAAGGTGCCAGCCTGAACAGCCAATGTGGTTGGATTGACGCTCAACATGGGAAGTGGGCAGGAGGGTTGGCAACAGACGAGCGCAGCAGCAATACTCCCCGCTTCACAACTTGGCAGCCATGCCACTCCAAACCTCCAATGAACATGAAAAATTTGACAGATTGATTTAACATGTGTAAGACTTCGCAAACAAGGAACAATACCTGAGAGGCGAGGGCGCACAGGGCGCGGCGGGTGTGGCGCATTGGCCATGTGGTGCAGCTAGAGACAAAGCGGCGACCGAGCTAAGGCAGTTCTTTGGGGTCTGGAGAGCGGGCATCAATCAAATAATAAAACTACAGCAGCGCAACAAAAACACAAGCGTGGGCGTGGCGGGGGCCGCGAAAGGCCGTGCCTGCCAACCCACCGCCACCCCTTTTGCAGTTTGGCTCTAGTACAGGAAGTCATAGCAGTCCTTGAATGCGCGCTTTCCATCCAGGATGGGCGCCGTGGCGTGGCCCGGGATCACGGTATCCCAGTCCTCCCTCGCAAGCACCGCCTCTACCCAGGCCCGCCCCTCCTGCAGATGCAGGGCGGCAGAGGGCGGCAGCGGGATGCCGGCGTGGCGGCGGGGCCGGGGACAGAGGCAGGCGCTGCCACAGCAACTACCAGGTCCCAGACACAGCAGGCAAGGCGGTACCGGTGCAGCAGCAGGACGACTGACCTTGGGGGAGCCTTCAAACACCTGCTTGGTGATGGGCCCCAGCCGGTCCCACACCCCCACGCCGCGTGCAGCGCTGATGTTTGCCGGGCTGATGCCGCCATACTCCTCCGCCGACATACAGAAGCCTGGGGGGCAGGGCACAGCACGGGCGCCGCCACGCAAGGGTGCGTCAGGCGGGTGGTTGTGATAACACTTGCACAGGGCGAGAGCCGGAACCAGAGCAGAGTGCTGACCCAAGGATGCCCACAGTCCTGCACAACATGTGCATGCTCGCCCGCTCCCCCAGCCCTCTGCGGGTGCCCCACCCGTGTCCGACAGCAGCAGCACCCTGTACTGCGGCAGTACCACGGCCAGCTCCAGGAAGAAAGGCGCCGCCAGCAGCTCGCTCTCCACCTGCCCCTGCAGCTCTGGGGGCAGCAGGTCCATGCCTGTACGGAAGAGGGGAAGGGACACGTGACGGTTGGAGACAGGTCCAGGCGAGGTGCACAGCGCCCGAGCCGAGAGGGATGTGTCGTGGCCAACGGCGGCGCAGCCCTCGGTTTGCCGCGCCCGCCCGGCACCTGGCCCCGGCAGGCGCGCCGCGCACCCAGCACCCTGCAGCATGACCGCATGCTGCCGATGATCTGCTGGAAGAAAGGAATGGGGAGGCCCCTGCCCTCCAGGAAGCCAGGAGGAACCCACACGGAGGCCTCGGGGAACGCCTTGGACAGCGCCGGGGCAAACATCCTGCGCATGCAGGCGGGAGGGTGGCAGGTCGGGGAGGGCAAAGAGGTGCCAAAGGGTGGGAGCGGAGCGCCGCAGGCAGCAACGGCAAGGCGTGCTGCGGTCGGCGGGTGGACACGTGCGCCCTCCCTTCCCACGGTGAGGCAGTTGAGTTCCCCCGCCACACCGCCGCACTCCCGCTCTCACCAGTGCTCTGGCGACGAGCTGGGCACGATGATGTGCCTCACGGCGCCTCCCAGGGCGGCCACGTGGCCCAGCAGCTCGGCTGTGGGCGCCACGGGGCTGATCAGCAGCAAGGAGCCGTCAGGGAGGCGCGCCGCCGTCATGCGCAGCCGTATGTCGATCCCCAAGAGATTGAAGGGCTGTGCCAGGCCCCACAGGCCCGCCCCAAACTTCTCCTCCAGCTGGGTGGGGCGGGAGAAGAAGGGCGGCAGCAGGGACAGGTACTTGGCGGCGGCGGCATCGCCTGCGGCAGGGCCCCTGGCCGCCGCGCCGCCGGCGTCGCCGCCGGTACCTACTACCTCCTGCTGCTGCGAGGCGCGCACTACCAGTGCGCTGCGGACATAGTGCTGCACTCTGCAGATGGCTGCGCGCCGCTGCGGTCTCTGTGTGGTGCAGCGAGCCCTCACCGCTGGGCTGGTCGCTGCTGCTACCGCTGACATTGCCTCGAGTGTTGCTGTGATTGCACAACTGATCTGCGAGCCTGCGCGAGCGCTAACGGCTGATCAGCAAGCTGTCTGACGGGGCGCCATCCTGGCGGGGCGCCATCGTGGCGGCAACCTTGGAACACTTACAGCACCCGTGCAGCTGCACACTATCCTGGCTCTGCACCATGCACAAGACGGGCACCACTGAGTCTGGCTCCCAAGTGGGCGGCCAGGAGGGCTTCAAGGGGTGCGTTCTCATGCCACCCCAGGGCCGCGTTCGGTGGAGGAGCAGCACCAGGGAGGCGCAGCCAGCGGAGCAGGCCCAGCGCCCGGCTGCCGCCGCCTGCCGCCAGTCCCACTCGGCTCAATGGCCGACTGGATATTTGACACGTGTGTGGTGCAGGCCGTACGACCGCCCCTCTGTCACGGACGGCACTGCCCAGCGCAGCGGCAGTGAGCCAGGAAAGCCACAGACCTGATGCCTCGGCATGCGCGTGCCACCTGCTCGATGCCTGCCGATCCGCCTTCCCTGGTTCTGCGCTGCAGGGGGTGTGACGATGGCTGGGTCTGGCGGCGGGCCCATGCCTCAGTCCATGGGCGGCATCACAGGCAGCGACGTGGGAGGCACAGGCAAGGCCGCGCAGCCCAGCCACCACACGCATGCGCTGATGGGGACTGAAGGCCTGGAAACCCAGCAAGAAAGTGTGCCAGCCTGCACATCTTGTAGGCATCGCCGGCCTGGGCGGGGCGGCAGGAGGCGGCGCTGCCATGGGGGACACAGGTGAGGCAGGAGGGGCATGCCGCCAGTATGCAGCTGCCTCAGCAGCTTGAGTCACCAGCCGGAGTCTGCCTGCCAAGCCAGAGGACTCTCCCAACCCTACCCCCCATGCCCTGCCGCGCAGGCTATGGCGGCGCCAGCGGCGTTGCGGGCCGTGCAGGCGATTACTCTGGCAGCCGCTATGGCGGCGGCAGGGAGCAGGAGGAGACAGGGATAACGGGGGCCAGCGGGTTTGGGCATGCCACCCCAGGTGAGACCGCTTGGTAGGCTGCAGGCAGGCAGCGGGCACAGCCGCCACGGTGAGCCAGACCGAGCAGCACCCACGCTTGGGGAGGGATAGGGAACCACCGCTCACCATTTCTGTCATGACCTTGTGACTGGCTGCCGAGCGGCTGTGCAGATGCTGCCGGGTATGGAGGCAAGGCGCACGCCACTGGCATCCAGGCCGGCGCCGACACGGGCTACAGCGCCGGGCTGGGCAACACCGGGGCGCAGGGCGCCGGCGCCAGGTGCGGCGCGCTGCCAGCTGGCACCCGCTGCTGTGACCTTGCCTCCTCTCCCTGCCGCCGTGTCCTCAGCCCAGGCTGCCCTGGCTGCGCTGCCCCTGCCTGCTGCAGCGCCGAGACAGCCCACTTTGCCACGGGGGGCAAGGCTGGGCTGTACCTGGCAAACGAGCATGTGGACCCGTGAGTGGCTGGCTGAGCTGCCATGCTGAGCAGGCACGCTTTCAGCTGCTGGTACCCTGCGCTGCCAACAACCTGCCGGTACTGAGTGCATGGGCGGGGCGCTGTTGTGCAGGTATGAGACGGGAGCGGCTGGCGGGGGTGGGGGCGATGAGGCTGGGGATGAGCCCTGATGGCGCAGGGCTCCACCACTCACACACACACACCGGCCGCTGTTACAGCCGGGTGAATGTTACAGCAGGTTGAGCGAAAGGACGAAGAGCAGGCAGGCAGGCTGAGAAAATGCGGGGGTGCACAATTTTGCATTCGCAGAACGGACTGACAGGCAAAGAGAGAAGGAGGGAGAAAAAAAAGGGCTGGGCGAACAAAATCGGGTCTGGCCGCTCTATTTGTCTGGTGCATGCATGCGTGCACGGCGCATCGTTTGTTGGATTGGTTGCTCACAGGCGCGAGCGTGCGCTGCCGCCCGGCGCAGCGGCGGCGGCCTTCACGGCTGCCTGCATGTGCAGCTGCACCTGCTGCCGCAGCAGGTGCTTGACCACCTTTCCTGTTGAGTTGACGGGCAGCACGACGCCGCCGCTGCTAGGGCTGGAGGCGCGCCCGGGGGTGGCCGCCGCCGCCGCGGCATCGCACAGCAGAAAGACGCGGGGCAGCTTGAAGCCGGCCAGCCCCGCCGCGCGGCAGTGCTGCTGCAGGGCGCGCCCATCCACCACCGCCTCCTCCGCCCCCGCCGGGTCGCCGGCGCTGCCACCGGCACGGGCGCTCGCGCCAGCCGCTGCCGCGCGCTCCAGCCCCGCGGCCACCCCCATCAGCAGCTGCAGGGCCTCCCGCCTCTTGTTCTTCTGCTGATCACCGGCGCCTGGCTGCCGCGCTGCTGCCGCCTCACACGGCGGCAGAGGTGCAGCCATGAGGAGGCCGCCATCGGCGCCGTGGGTGCTCTGGGCGGAGCCTGGGCGGGAGGGCGACCGCTGCAGCAGCATGCTGCGAAGGTCTTGCTCAAACCCCATGCCGCCAGCTGCCTGCTGCTCCCCCTCGCCATCCTCCTCCGTGCCGCCGTCCAGGCCACAGCCCGCCAGCCCGCCGGCGCCAGCGCCGCCGCGGGCGCCGGTCGGGGCGACGGAGGCGGCGGCCGCCGCCAGCGCTGCGCGCCCCGCCTGCTGCTGCTGCCGCCGCCGCGCCGCCGACGCCAGCAGCAGCTGGCAGCGCTCGCCGCGCCAACGCCAGCCGGGGCGCAGCACCACCGCCGCCGCCACCGCCTCGCCCAGGCGCCAGTCGGCGGCGCCAACCACGGCAGCAGCCGCCACCGCCGGGTGGCTGGCCAGTGCCCGCTCCACCTCCCAGGCATGCACATTCTCCCCGCCAGACTTGATCATATCTTTGGCCCGCCCCATCAGCCACAGCTGGCCTGCAACGAGGCACAGATTAGAAGAAAGCACACGTCAGGCGGGACGGCACAGGCTTGCGAGAAGCAGGTGGGCAAGAAGAGAAGCAGGCAGCAGCGAGGGCAGGCAGCAGGGCAGGGCCGGCAGCGGCATGCCAGCCCAACGGCGGGTGCGTGAGCTCACCCTGGCGCAGGCAGCCGAGGTCGCCGGTGCGCAGCCAGCCGCCCGGCAGCTGCGCGGCAGCTGTCGCGTCCTCGTCGTCCCAATATCCCAACATCACGTGCGACCCGCGAGTCACCACCTCGCCCTCCCCTGCAAACCGGATGCCGCCGCCGCCGCCGCTCCCGCCGCCGCCGCCGCCGCCGCCGGGAGGCTGATAGACGGCCAGCTCGATGCCCGGCGGCGGCCGGCCCACAAACACGCCGCCAGGTGGGCCCCGCGCGCCGGGCTGGGCGGCGGGGGCGCCGCCGCTGCTACCAGGCGCGCCCGCGCCCGCCTCGGGGCTCCAGAGTGTGTGGAAGGTCAGGGAGGAGGCTCCCTCGGTCATGCCATAGGCGGCATGCAGCGTGGCCGCGGGGCACAGCGCCGCCAGGCCGTCCCGCAGCGCCGGCGACAGCCCGCCGCCACCCACCAGCACGCGGCGCACCGCCGGCAGGGAGGCCACGCCCGCCTCTGCGGCCGCGGTCAGCAGGTCGGCGACCATGGTGGGCACTGCAGGGAGGGATGGGGAGGAGGGAGGGAGGGGCAGGGAGGGGAGGGGAGCGAAGGAGAGGGAGGCGGAGGGATGGGGAGGGAGGGATGGGGAAAGGGAGGGCGGGACGAGATGGAGCAGTCAAAACGGTGCTGTTGGTGGGCAGGGAGGCGGTGATGGGCAGGCGAGCGGCACCCCTCTGCCGCAGCAGCTGCAAGCAAGCTGCGCACACGGCGGGCAGCCGGGGACAGGAGCCCCGAGCAGCCGCACGGCGCGCAAGCAGGCGCCCTCCCCTTCCCTCCTCGCCCCTCCCCAGCCAGCCAGCCAGCCAGCCAGCACTTCACAGCCTACCCGCGATGAAGGAGGTGGCGTGGTGGCCGCGGATGGCGCCCAGCAGCGCGGCGCCGTCGAAGCGCGGCAGGAAAGCGTGGCGGGCGCCCGCGGCCAGCATGGCCAGCGCGGAGGACAGGCCGCCGATATGGAACAGCGGCGCGGCGTGCAGGTAGACGTCGGAAGACGAGTAGCCACACTGCGCCGTGAAACGGGGTCGGGGCAGGGCACAGGAGCGAGCGTCAGGGAGGGACGGGCCGGCCGGCCGCCGTTGCCGCACCGCACAAAGGGGCGCGGAAATGGGAAGGTAGCAGCGTGTGCGGCGATGGAATGGCAGGGCCGTGCAGGAGATGGCTCCCGCCAGCCCGGCCACGCCGGCAGGATGGGCCGGCGTTGCGCCTGGGATGCCACGACACACCACCACCGCTCCTCCCGCTCCTCACCGCCAGCAGCTTGGCCATGCACTGCGCGTGCAGCGCAGCGTGGCTGAGCGTGACACCCTTGGGCTTGCCCGTGGTGCCTGCAGGGGGCGCCGGGCGGGGACGGGGTGGTGAGATGGGGGCGGGCTGCCTTGTGGGAGGCCAGGGCTGGCACCATAACGGCACCACCACGGCAGCAGCAGCAGGAGCAGCGCTGGCCGCGTGGCAGGGCCACGGCGCGGCCACTTGCCACCAGCCGCCCGCCGCCCCCACCCTGCGACCTGCGCATGCGCAGCTGCGCACCCAGCGCACGCCCGGCGCGTGCACCGCACCTGACGTGAAGACGACGAGGGCGGCGTTGCCCGGGGCGCTGCGCAGCGCCAGGCTGGCGTCGGGGCAGGCGGCCATGAGCGCCTCAGCAAAGGCCAGGGTGAGGCCGGGCGGCGCTGCCTCCAGCTCTTCCTGCCGGTAGTCGGCCGGAGGCCCCAGCAGCACCAGAGTGTCGATGGCGCCCGGGGCGGCGGCCACGGCCGCGGCCAGCGCAAAGCGCAGGCAGCCTGCGTCCGCCAGCAGCAGGCGGGCGCCGACCAGCGCCGCCGCGGCCGCCGCCTCGCCGCCGCCCCAGCGCCAGTTGAGCGGCGCGGCCACGGCGCCGCCGGCGGTGGCTGCCAGCAGGGCCTCCAGGTGGCGGTCGGTGGCCAGCGCCGCCGTGCACACGCGGTCGCCGGCCTGCGGGTTTGGTGCAGGGGGGAACACGCGGGGAGGCGGTTGGGCGGTTGGCAGCTGACAGGGCACGTCCGCGGCAGCGGTCAACGGGCAGTACGGCTGGATAGGAGGGCCAAGGCAAGGCAGCTCAGAGATGCTGCAGTGCGTAGTAAAGACCCGGGCTGTCGGTGGGTGGTGGGTGCTGCTGCAGTGCGATTGATGGCAGACCGCCAGCTGGCCTGAGCACCCGCCCGCTCCCCGCCCGCACCTGCATCCCCAGGAGCTGCGTCAGGCCGGCCGCCAGCGCGGCCACGCGGCTGGAGGCTTCCAGGGCCGAGGTGGCCCTGCCTTCGCAGAGGAACAGCGGGCCGCTGCCGCTGTCTGACGCGGCGGCGCCAGCATAGAGGTAGCCGGCGATGTGCGCCATCCCGTCGCCCGCCGGTCAAGGGCCGGTGGTCTTCACGTGGTCAGAGAAGGCCTCGCCGGAGCACAGATCGTCGGGCAGCTGGTGGAGCACCACCACCTTCTCAGCTGGCAGCGGCAGGCGGAGCAACGCGGTCATGGCGAAGGAGCCATACAAGGCAGGCGGCTCTCAGGAAGGGCCCAGCGCAGCTGAGGGACGCGGCAGAGGTGCGACAAAGGCGGTGGACGCGGTGAACGCGCCGGGGATCATCCTGGCAGCCGCCACCTGTGCTGTGGCTTGCATGCTGTGTTGCATGAAAATGAAGTTCATACAGGAATAGGAGCGATCTGAAGCGTTCCTGGGGTCTGTGGGGCCTGGTGCACGTCTTCGCCGCACCTCACTCGGCACCTGGCGTTTCCCGCTGTCTCAAAACTGGCTTCTGGCTGGACTGGAGGGGTCCGTGACATTAGGTGGCTCGGTTGAGCCCCTCTATGCCCGCCTTTCCAGGCGCCGGCTGGGCTGAGGAGGCCCACCCGGAGGCCTCTGTCTCAGAGCAGGACGAAGGGCTGGCCAATGTGGACCGGGAGCCCGAGGCCGCTCCGCCGGGGGTGGAGGAGGAGGATGCCGTCAAGGTGGGGCCGCCCTGCACTGGGCAGAGCGCTGCGGTTGGCAGTAGGGTGGGCGCCGCCGCCTGCTCTCCCGGCTCCTCCACTCGCCTCCCTGCACCCTGCCCCTTGCCTCCCTCCCAGGTGGTGGTGCGCATCCGGCCGCCGCTCCCGCGGGAGCTCAACGGCTTCCGGCCATTCGAGAATGCTGTGCTGGTTGACCCCTCCCGCCACGTCGTGACGCTGTCGGAGAACCTGGCCGCGCTCAGCAACAATGGCGTGGAGAACGGCATTGTGAGGCTGGCTGGCCGGCTGATTGAGCGACTGCGCCACCCAGCAACCTGCCGCCATGAATCCGATGCTGCGTCGAGAGCGCGCGCTGCCGTCCGCCGCTGCCTCGCCCCACACGCACCCACATGCACACACACCTCGCTGTTGCAGGTGTACAACAGCTACCGCTTTGGGTTTGATGCCGTGTACGGGCCCGACAGCACCCAGGAGGATGTGTACATGCAGTCGGCGCGCAGCGCCGTGCAAAACGTGCTGCAGGTGCGCCACGGCGGCGGCACAGCTGCAGCTCTGGGCGCCGGCCGGCATTGACAGGCACCGGCGTGCCCGGCCACGCCCGGCCTGCAGCAGCGCCTCCCTCCGCGCGCAGCCTCAGCGCCGGCCTAACCAGCCTCCTGGCGCCGAGCAGCGGCGCCAGGCAGCCCTTCCGCCAGCCATGCCTGTCCAGCGCCCCGCCGACTCGTGCACCCTGCACCCACCCCGCCCCTGCCCCTGCCGCTGCCACCCCCGCCGTCGCTGCCTCCCTCCCACGCCACCGCAGGGATACAACGCCTCCATCGTCGCCTACGGCCAGACAGGCACGGGCAAGACGTACACGATGGAAGGCGAGCGGGCGCCCAGCGCGCTGGGCGGCGCGTCCCACAGCGCCGGCATCATCCCGCGGGCGATCGAGGACGTGTTTGCCTACATCCAGCGCGACACGGGCGAGCGCTGCAAGTTCCTGGTCCGCGCCTCGTACCTGCAGGCGCGCCGGGGCACGCAGTGTCGTGGGTTGCTCCGGGGGCTGCGCTGGGGGCGCCGGAGCAGGCGGGCAGGGCAGGGGGTGCCTGTGGAATGGGGGTTCCGGCTGCGACCAGGGCAGCAGGGGCCTCGAGCAGCTGGGCGCTGTGGAAGCGCCGTGCAAGCGCTTGGCTGGGGTGCATCAGGGAACCAGCCCTCCTTACCGTTGCAAGGCTGCTGATGATGACCGACTCTCTTGCCCCTCCTGCCTGCAGATCTACAATGAGGTGCGGCGGCTGGCCCTGGGCGCGTTGCTGCCAGCGCAGAGCAGCGGGGCCACCCTGCACAGCAGCTGCCGCGTGTGCAGCTGCTGCGCCTGCCCGGCTCCCGGGCTGCGGGCAGGCCCGGAACCACGTCCCCTCGCCCCCTTCCCAAAGCAAACCCACATCCACCACCACCACCGCTACACCCAATGTGCATGCCCACACATCACACCCACGCCCACTCGCGCACCCCTGCCCCTCCCCTACACACAGGTCATCTCCGACCTGCTCAAGCCGGAGAGCATCAACCTGGTGGTGCGGGAGGACCGGCGGCGGGGGGTGCACGTGGAGGGGCTGTCGGAGTGGGTGGTGCGCTCGCCGGCAGGTGTGCAGGCCTGGGGCTGGGTCTGGTTCCTCGTGCCTGTGCCGCAGCGTGTGTGTGTGGTGCTGCACATGCTGGTGGTGCGTGGGTGGGTGGAGGTTGCTGTGGCAGCGGCGGCACCTGCGTCCGGCGCCGCGCCTTGCACCTCCCCTCCCCTCATAACCGTAGCGGCCGCAGAGGGGCAGCGCGCCGCTCGCACGCCCGGCCCATGCCCCTGCTGGCCTGCCTCGTCGCCAAACCAATTGCAGAGGTGTATGCTCTCATGGAGAGGGGTGCGGCGGCGCGCGCCACGGGCGCCACCAAGCTCAACGAAATCTCCTCCCGCTCCCATGCGATCTTCATGCTAATCGTGGAGAAGTCGACGCTCGTGGAGGCGGCCGCCGGCGGCCAGGGCGGCGGCGGCGAGCAGTATGGCGGCATGGCGCCGGGTGCGCGGGCGGCTCCGGGGGGTGGATGTGTTGGTGTGTGGCAGGGAGGCAGCTCGGCTTGGCAGGCCGCAGGGGCTGGTGCGTGCGGAGCAGCCGCATGCCTGCCCTGCCCGGCCTGGACGAGCCGCCGCCGCCCACCACCTGCCCGCCTTGCCCGCTCTCACCTGGATGCCGCGCTGCGGCGCGCTGCGGGTGTGGTGCAGGCGCGCCGCGCGGCGGCTCCTCCTCGGCCCGCGGCGAGGCGCGGCAGAGCGTCAAGGTGGGCAAGCTGAACCTGGTGGATCTGGCTGGCAGCGAGCGGGTGCACGTGACGGGGGCCACCGGCAAGCGGCTGGAGGAGAGCAAGAAGATCAACCAAAGCCTGAGCGCCCTTGGCAACGTCATCGCCGCGCTGACCGACCCGAAAGGGCGCGACGCCCGCCCGCACGTGCCCTACCGGTGCGTGGCGCGGCGGGGCTTGGGGCCTCTGCTTGGTGGCAGCGAGGGCTGGTGCCGCGCCGCGGTTGAAGCAGAGGTGCTGGGAGGGCAGGGGGGGAGGGGCGGGGCAGTTGGGTAGCGAGAGGTGCCCGCGCCCCTCCCTCTGCCGCTCTCATGCCGCGTCGCCCACCACCTCCCCGCCGGCTTCCCCCGTACCCCCACCTCCTCTCCTGTACCTCCCCTCTCCCTCCCTTACTCCCCACCGTCTTTACCCATGTCGCCTCCCGCTCGTCCCTGCTCTGCAGCGACTCCAAGCTGACG